GTTTTGTGAGAATACTTGTTACCTGACTAAAAAAAAATCATTTTTTATGGAGATCTCTCAGATTCTTGTTTCAGTGATTAAAGGACATGTCAAGGAAATGACGAGGTAAAATTAATGAATAATTGAGCGGAAAGCATTTTATATTTTTTCTTCTTATCTTTAATGCTTTTTTTATAATTATTTCATATTTAAAAAAAAATTTTTTTATATATATATATACATATATATATATGTTATATATATATTTTGTCTATTTTTTAGCACATTTTTTTTAATTATAATTTTTAATATACATCTAATTCTTTCTTTTGTTCTTTTTAATAATTTTCATTAATTTTCATTAATTTGTAGATTTTAGAAAGCTATATAATTTTGCATCTCTATTTTTTTTAATTCTTTTACTTATTTTTTGAATTTCTTTATTTTTATATATTTTTTCAAATTGTTTGGTTTTGATTTTTTTATTTTTATTATTTTGTTATTTTTATTTTTAATTTTTTAATTTGTTTTTTTTTCTTTTTTTTATTTTTTTTTTTTTGTTATTTTCCTTTTTTTTCCATTTTATTTTTTTTTCATTTTTGATTTTTATTTTGTTGTTTTTTAATTTTCATTTTTATTTTACTATTTTTCAGTTTTATTTTGTTATTTTCCATTTCTTTTTTGTTGTTGTTTTATTTTTTATTATTTATTTTTGTTCTATTTTTTAATGTTTTTAGTTTTCAACACTTATACATTTTGAAATATTCAATATTTTTTAATTTTTAAAGTTTTTTTATTTGTAATTTTTTAAAATTTTACTTTTCCTTTTTATCTTTTTTATTGTTTTTTAATTTTTTTAATTTAATTTTTTTTTTTAATTTTGTATTTTTTTTTTCATTTTTCTTTTATTTATTTTTTCTTTCATTTGTTTATTTTTTCTTTTATTTATGCTTTTTCATTCATTTATTTTTTCTTTCTTTACTTTTTTTTATTTATTTTTTCCTTTTATTTTTTTTTTGTTTCTTTATTTATTTTCTCTTTTATTAATTTTTTTTATATATTCATTATTTTTTCTTTTATTTATTTATTTATTTTCTCTTTCTTTTTTTTAATTATTTTTTCTTTATTTATTTGTTTTATCTTTCTTTTCTTATCTTTTCTTTATTTCTTTTATTTTTTTTCTTTTATTTTTTTGTTCCTAATTTATTTTCTCTTTTATTCATTTTTTTCTTTTTTTTCTTTATTTGTTTTTTCTCTTATTTATTTTTTTCTTTTATTTATTTTTTCTTTATTTATTTTTTTTCTTTCTTCTCTTTTTTTATTTATTTTTTTCTTTATTTATTTATTTTTTATTTATTTTTTTATTTTAATAATTTTTTTCTTTTATTTTTTTCTTTTATTAATTTTTTTCTTTTATTTTTTTATTTTATATTACTGTGGTTTATTTATTTATTTGCTTTTATATATATAGTTACTTTTTTATTAGTAATTTATAATTTTTTTTTATTTAATTGGATCACGTATAACATCACTTTCCCTCTGCTCCGAAACAGCTCATTTTCAGGACCTCCCGTTAGATAACCTCGGCGACATAGACTAACGCTTACGCCGAGGCGTGATCGAGCAAGCCTCTTCAAACCTAAAAGCAACAAGAATGAAAGGTTATAGATGGAAATATCACTCGGTATCCCTGGTGTTGAAGGGGTAGATTCGTAGTATCCTGAAGTTGAGTCCGCCGTGTGATTTAGCTGAATTTCCGATAAGACTCCAGCGTTAAGAAATTGAAATAAAAGAAAAATGCACAATAGTCAACTGAGATACCTCTTACTGATGTGTAGAGCATGTCGCGAATTCTAAATCACCGATTATCCCCGCGCTCACCGACGTCTAAGCCTTAATAAACAGCTTTACTTGCTTACAAGCTGCTTTACAATACAATTAATTCAAAGTATTTAGCCAGAATGAATATGAATATTTCAATAAACTCGTAGAATCATAAATATGTATATATACACGTACAAATATCAGAAGTTCCTTTCTACCCTTCGGAGCGCGAGCCCAAAAAACTCGCACCAACCAAATAGAACATCATAATTTGTATGCTCGAGATGGAAAGGGTAAAAAAAAGCATAAACAACGGATGAACCCAAACGAAGCAAGGCAAAGCGTAATTACCGCGACATGAAACGGTAGCGCGAATCAAATCCGTATTTTACAAGTAAGAAGTTGTTGATTAAAATTCATGAAAATAAACATTTTCACAAACAATTTCCGATGTGAACAAAACAGGCCGATGTGAACAGTCACAGGCCCAGGCGGTGAAGTAGTATTTAAAAATAAAAATGTATTTAACGTAGGCAATCAACCCCTGCCGAATGAATGGATGGTTTGATGGTATGGGCTGGCACGGGTGTGGCGGAAAGGGGCGGCTGAGTGCTGTAAACGTCAAAGCCAAGCAGCATTTACAGCTGGAGAACTACAAAAACACACAGCGAAACACGAATAGAAACAGAAGAGGCAGAAGCAGAAGCAGCTGATACGAGGGGTAGCTGAGCTACTTGCAACAAACACATTTCCAAACAACGGCAAAGTCATAGTCAAAGCCAGCCAGACAGGCATACTAGAAACGCACATACACCTATGAGCACTAACTACGCCGCTTTGTTGTAATACCTAAAGTCATAACGTACCGTACTCAGCCGGGACGAGTATCGTCAGCCCCTGTTTGTAAGCGCGTATGCCATATAGTCGCTGCTGCCGTCAGCGTCAGCGCCTGCAAAAGGCAATGAACCTTTAGTTGACAAGCCAATGTGTAATACTCGCAGATATGTATGTATGTACATTTGTATGCCGTGTCGCATTGGTGGTGGCGCGCATATGTACATATCTAGAACTACATATGTATGTGCACATATGTACAGATAAATATATGTATGTATGTATATATGAACATTGATAAAAGCAGAAAGAAATGAAATTTTAAGATATTCGAACAAATCAAAATGCGCTACCGAGTTGACGCCAAACGCTCAGGTCACACCATGCGTTACTTAAAGAAAAACATATGACCATACGAGGGCACCTTTTTGAGTTTTACGCACAGAATGCACAAAACTAACATGACTAGTTGAGTTTTCTCGGACGAAATGCTATTATTATTCCAAAAACCTGGCAAATAAATGCATCTGCAGATCTTCCAAGGTGGCCAAAAGTAGAAGAGAAAGTAATAAGTGATATGCCCTATGGCTTTCTTGCATTAAATGAACTGAGAATACCTGGAACTTTAAGGAAACTTCTGAAGAAGTAGATTATCGAGCAATGTGTTGGATATGCCGGTCTTAAGTTGACAAGAGTAGGAGTTTAGGCCACCAGACCTTAATATTGAGTATCTCACTAGGGTTGTTGTGGTTGTAACGGTTTGCTCACACACGCCTAGGGAAGGCAAAAGTTAATCTATATCGACGTGTTCTTTCAAGGGGAGCTCCAGGAAACCAGCTTCTTCGACGGGTTCGGACCGAAGTGAGTTGCAGTCGGTTGAAGATGGAATACCTTTGTGCTCTCTGTCTACTGCGGAGTTAAGCAAATGTCCCAACAAAGTACGCCACGATCTCCAGGACTTAATATATATTCGAAGCTTTTGAAACGGAAACGGGTTTGAGTTGAGGGTTGAGCTGATGTGCCTGTTGGTCAGTGTACAATGCACTTAGGCCAAATGGCTGATACCGGCTATGACGTTCCTGTCTTCAGCCTCTCCACTGCTCGAACCGTTTCAGGTGTTTTATAAAAGTAACGAGACTACCGATTTTCGCTAAAACCAGCTCCACGAGATAGTCTAAGAAGTGTTTTTCTCAAGGAATTTGTGTCGTGCAGTTGTCAAGGCTGCACAGTGACAAAATGTTCAATAAAATCTTCCTGTTGTTGTTGTTGTAGTAGCGGTTTGCTAACCCCACTTAGAAGCAGACTAGATCAGTATAAGCCATCCAGGTTATCTAACGTTAGGTCCAGAAGACGAGCTGTTTCGGCGGGTTAGGACCAGGTTCGGACAATTAACACGACAGCCAGTTCTACGCACCAGAGGTGACCTGAATTCTATCAGGCTAACTACGTTTAGGTCAGCAGGTAATGTTTTAGACTCTAAGCCTTCCTCGTCGATACAGCTGCGGTAAGAATCATTAGAGGGGTGTTGTTGTTGTAACTGCGAAAATATTCTTCAAAGTCCTTGGCCGGATAAAAATCTGGGTTGTTCCTGTATAAAAACCCGACTGTCGCTGGAAGTGTCGAATCTTCGTCGCCTCTAACGATAGGCATCTCTTACCATGGGTAAATTCTAGAACCCCTAACACGCAAAGCAATCATTATAGGGTGCCTTCTCTCACCAGTTCGACCAGTTCGGTACCCAGACCACGGCAGTGTTGCATTTAATAGAGAGTTTGCCCAGATTTCCTCTACATTTTATGTCATTTTTGATTTGCTCCTGTTACATTGTCGAGATCTGTTGGCAGCTTGAGTGTCCGGAAACGTCTATGGCAACCCTCGTATTTACATAAAATCGTTTGTGTACACTAAAAATATGCGGCAGATATTACAGCGGGCTGTAACTTGCACTACTAGATTTATTCAGATTCAGTAAACTCACATATGTATGTATGTAGGTATGAATGTAAATTTGTAAATTAATTAATTCTTTCACTTAGAGAAAGTTACACAGCAATTTTTGGTCAACCCCTTACTATCAAAGCGTCTGCTAGAAAAGAGGTGGTTGTTAGCTTTTTCTCAACCCTTCAGTGTGGCTGATAACGGTTACAATACACATTTGAAGCTTTGAAAGTTGAAACATCCTCACACCGAAAATCGAGGATTAAAAAATTATTACATTGCGATTATGATAAATTCTAATAAATACAACAAAAAAAGTGTAACCAGTGTAACCAAAAAATTGAGTTGCAGCTGTCGCAAAACAACTTTCCATGCATCGAGCTTCAATGTTTCATTACATCATTTCTTTGTATTTAGTTACTCACCATACAACTCCAAATGCACCATAGCCAATGGGACGATCCGGTTGCACATCCTGTGGCACAGCTGGTGGTTGATAATATGGTGCTGCAGCAGCTAAAATGGCACCTTGTGGGGCACCGCCAGCAGCTCCTCCCTGTACAAGTGACATTGATACGCTCATTGAAATACGCGAACGGGAACGCGGCGTAGGTGCAGCGGTAGCAACGATGTTGGATGCTACTGATGTATTATGACCAAACTGTTGTTGTTGCTGTTGTTGACGTTGTTGTTGCTGTTGTTGTTGTTGTTGCTGTTGCTGTTGCTGCTGCTGTCGAATGAAGCTAGAGGTGTTGGCGTTGTTAAAGCAGTTGTTGGCGACACTTAAACTACGATTAGCATTTAATATATGACCGCCGCTGCTGCTGCTGGTGCTGCTGCTGCGTATGCCAATGTGGTTATGATTTTGAAGAGGATTGGTTGTTGTATGATTGGTATTGGAGGAAATGGATTTTGGGTTGGGTTGGGCTCGTATTCCGTTCACGGTTTGCCTTTTGGGGCCGACAATGGCCGCCATTCAACAATGTGCCATACAAATGAATGAGGAATTGCTAGCAAACAACAACAGTGTGGTGGCGTGTACACAATTTACGCGCGACACGAGACTTTGGGTAGTCGTAAAATATTTGTATGCAATGGATTTTAATTTATGGTTTAAAAAAAAATTATAAATATTATATTTTCTTTATTTAATTATTATTGAATTTGTAATTACCACTTTTTGCTTAAAACTGCTACTTTAATAATTTTTTTTTTTTTACAACACTTTCAAACTGACATTTACACGAACAAGCACGAACACTAATGAAGCAATTACATACACATATACATGTATGTGTTTGGTTATTTTTAATTTTTATTTTAATTTAAATTTTTATTTTTATTTTTATTTTATACGCAGGAATAAGAGATTATATTTCCAGATTCTTTGAAGCGTTGATTAAAAGCTGAAAAAATTAGAAACAAATTATTTTCATATATATTTCATGCTTAATTGAACAAATATTAGTAGGCAAGTATATAATATTTTAAACTAAATGTAACTAAATGTCTTATCGCTTAATAAGCTTTAGTTTTAGAGCCTACTAGGTAGCACCCCTAACAGCGTCACAAACTTTTTAATTTTTTTTTTTTTGAATTCACTTATGTATGTCATTTCGGTTTGATTAGATTAGAATAGCCGACTCGTTTATGCCCAAAAAAAAGAAAAAAAAGCTGCAGAAGGGCAGTTTTTCAGCAAACAAAAAAATATATTGTTGTTATTGTTGTTGTTGTATTCGCCAGAAAAATATTCTTCACATAGGTTTTCGGTAATATTGCGGTTGGGAAAATCCATGGCTGGATAAAAATTCGGACCGATTATTGCGGGACTGGCTCACCTAACCAGGTGTGAATTTTTGAGACCCCAACCGCCAGGGGTTAAGAACATAAAGGAAATTGCCTTATTACTATCGAGCGCAGTATAGTAAAATCACCAAGATTTGTTATCAACACAACAAAAAACGTAAATTAGTTTGCAAGATTTTTAATTTAAATATCAATTATGTATGTATGTATGTACTACTTGTAATAATTTATCTATACCGTAATTTTTCAACAAAAAGGATTTGGATTTTTTTTTTTTTTTGAAGAAGTTTTAACCCACAAGCAAATGAGCAAATGACAACTTTATACATATGTACATATGTATGTACAATGAATTTTTCCTAACAACTTTATTGGATACATATGTATGTACATATGTGCATACATACATCGGTATTATCAACTAACATCCCTCATTTTCCCAAGCATACGCCTATTTTACTTTCCTACTATGTAAAAGGACTCCAAGTGGGCAGTGGTGTACAAGTAGAGAGCAAAGTTGTTTTGTTTACTTTCAGTGAAGCCACTTCAGACACAAGTCACGTTTTTTCCATTATACACATACATAAATTTACAATGTTAGTACCTACACATATTAGGAACTGAGTTTTTTTTCACATAAGCGCTTTATACAGTATACACATGCACTTAAAAATACAAACATATGTAAATATATGTATAAGTATATATATATAATAACTAGCCGGAAATAATCTTTCAATTTACCTTTAAAACACTACGCTCAAATTGCCGTTTGACAGAGTATGCAATGTATATATGTATATATATATATTATTTAAACGATTTTTCCAAATTTTTATTATATTTGTATTTTGTTATTTACATTTATTTATCCACAATCAACTGTTTCAGTTATTTAAGCTTTACTTTTGGTTATGATTAACATATAGATACATATGTATATACTAAGTACATAAATTTATGTACATTTCATTAGTAATATGCACGTTCTGTGTAATCCCCGTGAATTGAACAAGTGACAAACTGTCCAATTGCGATTTTATTATGGTTTAAAAATAAATAATTATTATTTTTTGTTTTGTTTTTATATAAAAATTAGTTGCAGTTGTTGTCTGTCGGCGTTCAGGTAAGCTTTAAACAAGTTGTGTGATAGCAACAACAATTGCACACGTTACGTTAGCGCATACATAAATATTTTGGAGTTTGTTTCGCGTTCTTCCGCTTTTAGCTATGTATGTACGTGCATACATGCACACAAACTATTTTAACTTTTCTTTACTTTGTATTTGTTTGATGCTTTTTAATGTTTTTGCATTTTATTTTCGTTTTTTTTTGCATGCAATAACTGGGTTTAATCAGCACTATTTTCTGCTATTACTTCCAGACAATGTGTACATATGTAATTTAATTGTTGCTTTCAAACGACATAATATTCAATGTTAATTTAATAAAACATTGAGTCTATATTTCTTTATAATTTATTTAACACATTAATATTGACATTTACGTTACAAACTTCAAGACATTGATGGTAAGAGGATTGGAAAAACATTGGGAAAACCAGACAAGTATCAAATTTTCACTGCTTTTACTTTGCTTTGCTTTTTTTGTTATATTCTTTCACTTTACATTACATTTACACCACTTCTTGCTTTTGCTTTGCTTTGAATTTGATTAAATTTTGCTGTTTTGCTTTTTCCTTAAATGTGCACATACATATCAAGCGACACTTAACGCGTTTCCACGATAAAAAAAAAATAGCAATTGAAACTTAGTTGCAACGATTTTTCTGCATAATGGTAAAAACTAATTGATTTTACAAGTGAAGTGCTTTTGTTGTTTGGCTTTTGCAGAAAAATAAGTACACAAATTTTTGTAGAAATTTGCTACACGCCGCACTAACAACGAACAACCTTTTCACTTGCAGTTTTTTTTACGATTGCGGTCACCCTTTTCAGGCGAAGAGAATCGAAAGCAAACAAACACGTCGCAACTTGAGATGCCTTGGAAAATCGTCAAACATGTTGCAGTGACGGTCGAGCATGTGCGCTGGAAATGTCTACGCTTCCAGTCTCTTTCAGTTTACTCCCGCAGAGTTGCATCTAAGATGACATATGGAAAGCTGAAATTATAAACAAAAATGTTGCCGGATAATTCGAAATTCTATTTCCAAGTCATGGAATTACACGAGGTAATTGAATTTGACGTGATGACGGATCAGGCGATTATAAATGTTTGCAACCAAATCCACGGGCTTTTTTGGTGTTAATAAGCTCAATTAAAAATTTTGTAACTCAATATAATTTTTCTCCGATAAATATCCATCCCAACTGTCAAGCAGACAATGTACAATAGAAACCCCTCATAGGATTACAAATAAATTTGTTAAGAACACATAAATTAAGCTTATTTCCTTGCCAATATAATTTAATTACGAAGAAAAATATACATTGAAGATAATTTGATTACGATTAAGTTTTATACTAATCTAGATTGTTCTCACGAATCTATTGTTGTTGCGTGGAATTGCCATTCCATGTGGCATTTTCATCGTCTGAATCTTTGTGGTCAGTCAGTCGATGAATATTTGAACCACCATACCGCCGGTAAGGTTTTGATTCACCTTTTTCTGTAGCCCCATCATCTGAGGTACTGGCATTGTTACCAAAATTCGAACCACCAAAACGCTCCATATTACGTCGCTTTGCGCTGAATAAAAAAAATATATACTATTGGCTTTTAATTCCAAGCAAATATTCACTTACGCATCATGTTGTGCACGATCATCCTCGTTTGCTCTCTTGTTGGCACCCACATTATTACCATCATCATTATCATTCTTGCGGCCAGCGCCGGTTGCAACATTCTTCAAATAACCAAAAATGGAAAAAACTGGAGAAAGAATGGTCATCACTAAAGTAGTGAAGATATTTAAAATACCACCAGAGCGCGCAATGATTGCCGCGGGGCTACTCATACTCTCTTTGCCAATTATCAATATCACAGCGCTAGGTAACAGATTCAATTCAGCAAGCGTTTGAACATCGTGTTCCACATTAAGTTCACGCTTTGGGTATGTTGTTGCTAAAGTAAAGTCTTTTATTCCAGTGCCGGGTAATAAATCGGTTCGTACGTACTCCCGTAATTTTCCAAGCGTATCCTTGCTTTCAAAAACGTGTGTCGCACTATTACCATTTGCAAACCGAAATTGGATTCGAGTGCTATCGGCAGAACATGTGCTGGTAACTATTTCACTTTTGTTACTCACATCTGCAATTGCGGCACTGGGCAAAGAATATTTGTGTGCCCGCTCAGCTCGATCTGCAGCAATTTGTGCTCGAATTCTGTCCCGTGCTGCAATTTCTTCGAGTTTCTCACGTCGTATATTTTCCTTAAATACAAATGAAATAATTTTTATAGATTACAATAATTTCAAGCAATTTACAAACCTTTAATTCATTTAGCTCTTCTTCACGTTGCCATTTCTGTAAGTTCTGCTTCTCTATTTCTTCACGCCTACGTCTCATTAACCTGCGCTCTGTTAATAATTGTTCCTGCTCTTCATTATGTTTCCTACGTTCTTCTATTTTCTTTCTATCTTCCTCCAGCCGAGCATTTGCTTCAGTTTCCTTTTTAGTTTCAGTTTCATTGGTTGACACCTTATTTTCATCTGTGGCAACGGCGACTTCTTTTTGTGGATCTTGTATTTTTTTGTAACAAACGTCACCTTCACATACAATTTCAGCTACTTGATCCTTCTTCACCACAGTTTCAGGTTCCGCTGGTGGTTTACTGGTAGACGGTGCTTCAACATCTCCCGAGTCAGCAAGTGACTCATTGGACTTCTTTGTGCTGATTTCACTGTTAACGGCAGTTGCATTTTGTTCAGCTGTAATAAAAGAAGCCGAAGATTGCGCAGAGGGTGTACTGCGGCCTGATGCAGATAGTACTCTCATAATTTTTTCTTCAAGTTCAGCAACGGAAGCAATTATGCCAGTACCAATTTCAAGTGGAGAACCCGTCTTACCAATAAAGAAAATTGATGGCACAGGCACTACTTGATCTGCAAAATTAATGAAATGAAAAGACCAAATTGTCCCAATTATCGTCAGCCTTCAGACTTACAAATTGATGCAAACTGCATATACGCTTGGCTATCACTTTCAATTTTAATGGCCACAAAATCATCAGACTCAAGTTTCTCGCGGATTTTCTGATCATTTATGAAACTTGTAAGTTTTTGTGTCGATTCGTTTTTTCCTTTGGTTAAAAATAAAACAAACATGAAATTATGATTTTTGCAGGCATGACGTGTTCGGGGTAAGATTTTTTCATCTTCCTATTGAACAAAATTCCTACACACCTTCAACATAAACAACGAAAACCGCATTTTTCGCTTTTGATTCTGCAACGGCCTCTTGAATGTTACCTTTGTACCAATTCATTTTTGCGTTTTACAACTTAACTTATTTTTATAATTTTTTCTCTCGTATGAATTAAAACACTCCTAATTTCTTTTATAATTTTCTCGAAAAAGTAAAATGACAAAGAAGCAAATCATCTGACGGAATGATTGGAAAACAATGCTGCCATATGCAGGTATTTAAATTTTTTTTTTTTTTTGAGATTTTAGGTTTTTCGTTAGGAGCTTGACGAATTTTTAAAATCCTGCCAAGTGCGGATGATGTGAAAAGCTGCACTGCAAATTCTAGAATTTTTTCTTTTCCTTTGAAGGGAGTAAGGAAAAATAAAATTTTAAATTTCATCAAAGAAGAATTTGATTCCCTCAAATTTATTAAATGTTTCATTGCTGGGAGCACTCCTTTGACTCTTCGGTGAAGCTTTGAGAATCAGTAATACTATCGCCAGGTGGGTTTATAAATTTGACCAATGTATTGTAAATATTCAAATAAATATTTACGAATAAATTTTATTGAGCTATGTTTTTATTTCCATATTAGCTCGTGCTCTTATAAAAATAATCAAAATCCAATTTTAAATGTTTGAAAAAATGAAGCCTAAAATAGTGATGCCATTGTACGTGTCCATTATTTGATTTGCGATTTGTGTTTAGAAATGCATTTAGTTACTTAATGGTTCGAAATCTCTGTGTTATCTAGTTCTGAAATAGATAAGTAAATGAAAGTTATAAATATTTAGAGATTATAGTTTCTTTTAACCTGGTTCAGAAAGTATTCTAGCACTGGTTACGGAACCAGCACGAGATGATATTTCACTACGAGCTAAATTCAGTCGAGGCAATCTGATGCAGCAGCGTCTCATTTTAATATCCTTCATGATCGAACCTTCAGCTATTCCTTTAGCACGTATTATGACGTCTGAGCAGCGTTGTAGACGAACGGCACAACGACGTATTCGTTGATCCAAAATTTGTTCCTATAAAGACAATGAAAATATTAATTTATTAAAAGTTCACTTTCAAATATTTTTGAACGATCCCCATTTTTATACGGCCAAGTACTGTCACTTCCTAAACATTACCCAAAAACTGCTTTGGGGAATATTTTTGTGGCTACAACAATAACAAAACTTGGATATCGCAATAATTAACTTATTTTATACAAACATTAATAAAATAAGAAAGAATGCATTATGCAATTTCACATTTATTTTAGGCATATACTTCAAAATAAATATAATAATACAAAAATTTTTAACTTAATTTGTACGTGGACAAATTTAGAGGACACGCCTCAATAGCTCACCTGTACCTCTGCTGGTGTAATTCCAACGAAACTCATACGGTTCAATTTTACGGAACATTTCTTTGTTTTGATTGCTGTCTCCATTTTTTATTAGTGTTTAATTATTTGTTATCTGAATAATTTATAAAAAAGAGATATTTTCACAATAATATTAGTTCAGGAATTGTCAAAATGGACGCTGTTATCTTTTGTTTTTAATTATCCTAGTTTTGTTGTGAATATGCTGAAGAAATAAAAATGTTGCCAGACTAATAAGTTGCTGGGTTTTTCTTAAATGTTAGGTCTAGTACACACACAACAAATTATGTATGAGAACAAAAGAATTCTACGTAATTCAGCCCAAAATTTATCAACTAACTTGGGAATCAAGTTTATAATTGTTTGTAGTTTTTTTTTATATTTTGGAAAATGCAATAAATTTTAGTGAAAAGCTAAGTTCTAACATAAGCAATTTTTATTTCAAAATTTCTTGCCAAAGTTGAAAACTAATAGCATGGCGATTTTTTGACACGCGTTGCAGGCAGGTTGACTTTGACGTGTGATATGAATAAATGTAACTATTCAGGCGAATCAATATTGAATCTATCTTCACTGTCTTACAAGTCTGCCAAAGCACCACCCGCTGGACCGTCAGCGGAAATCTTCCGATGTCGCCAGAGCATCACTTGCACAGCGTAGCATCTATGTTTCGAGTTAAGGACTTTTTTGCTGTGCAATCATTTTCTTCTGTGATGTTACTTTAAGGAGCACCCCAAAAGGCATATATTAGAAGCCAAGCCACTACATTTACAACAACTGGTGGACAAGACGGCGTAAAGACAAGCACTAAAGCCCATTTACCAAGAGTCCGTCACCACCTTCATGAACCCTCTGCCTGTGAATGGCGTTCTCAGAGCCAAACCACCACGTGTATCAGGCGAAGAGCTCGAACTGTCTCGAAAAGTCCCGGCAGCAGCTTAAACTCGTACCTCATAACGTATATCTAGCATTTAACGAGTCTCCGCTTAACACTGACTATTTCTTTGTATACCTCCTAAAACCAACTCATCTGACTTACTTCTGACTCTGGTCAGAACCCGTCAAAACCCATCGTTTCCGGGACCTCCCGATAGATGATCTCGACGACCTAGACCTATCTATCTTAAGCGGAGTCAGCGAACCGTTACAATAATACTCAATGGTGAATCGAAATTTTTTGCCAACATTCAACTTTACCTTGTTAATTGACGTTCCATCAGGCTGTACATCGAAAATTTTAAAATCTGGAGTGTTGGCGCCTATCCTGTCGTCTATACAAAGTTAGCATTGTTTTAGTCTTTTGGTGATAAGTACAGAATACAGACCGTTAAGGTAGAACAAAATTAATTAATGGTCGTAGTCCACTCTGGTTTTTGGATTATAAGGATATAATTTTTTTGGACATACTTTTATTTTTGAAGATGTAGGGGGGCGAAGGGGGAATTTTCGGAATTTTTATATCTGAAAAAGTTTTACATCAAATTGTACAATTTTAATATTGTTGGAAAGGTGACGAAAATACCTATTTTTGGATATACATACATATCTTTATACTTTTGAAGGAAAATTTCGGAAAGAATTTAGTAATCCAAAAACAATACTAATTTTACAATCCAAAGCGCGACCAAAGGCCGTGAACTTACAAAGGAGTTTCGCTGAAGAATACTGTGCAAGGCGAAGTCGGTGGTGGTTCGGCCCAGGGTTACAATCCAAAGCGCGGCCGACAACTTTCAAAGGAGTTGTTGACACATTCCCCGAATACGAGTCCGTTATTTATCTGGCAGGTCGATTTGAAGGAGATACCCAGTCCAAACTAGCACCTGTTAACAAGAGGGATTCTGCGCTGGATTAGCAGTACGGCAACCTGATTTTCCATTCCTTCATTCAAAACGAACAGACCTTGACAAAACAGCTGATAAGAAATTAGACATAGAATTGCAAAAATCAAGTGGACGTTGACAAATTTTGGACCGGAGGAGGATTTCGTTACTTTTCTAGCGAGTGTATATCAAATTATGGCTGGACTTTTGCACTTGGCGCGATTTTGCAGCAAACACCAACAAATAGCATCATCAAATAGACGATTCTCAAGTGTTGTGCGAAATACAACTGGCATACTAAAAGCGCATGGACAACGTCGATTGCCTGCTCATTTGGTAAGTATGTGTACGAGTGAGATCGCAAAATTCAAGGCCATATCAAATGATAGCCCCAAAATTTCATAACAAAGATATTAATCGGAAGCAATACTATGCAGACAAGTACATAGATAACAACTCAAATATGCTAGATAAATAATTTTATTTAGAGTGCTAATGGAGTGGTCAGGCAAACAGTGGCTCGAATATGTATTGTTTTGGCCTTCCGTGTAGCTAAAGTTAATGCTAATTACAAAAACAAAAACAAAAAAAATAAATAAAATGAAAATGGCACAATTATTTACCATTTTTCTTTTTATCTACTTCTCATTGCAGAAAAATTAAAACTTCCTAAACAACGCTATAAAATATTTATAAGTAATTATTCAAATGTAAAGAGAAATAAAAAGCCAATAACATTAAATCAACATACGAACACTGTCTGCCTGTAATATCCAGTTAAGCACTATTACCGTGACAGGCTACTGAAAGGAAACCGAATCGTGTGACCACGGAAAAGTCAGTATAAATAAAAATTGAAATTGTAATCAAAAATTGAATTGACTGTAACCAATTATGGGCCGTACTGGCCGCGCAAGGCTGCGCAAGAAGCGTACCATAAACGCAAATATTACAAAAGAAGACACATTCTCAGCATTACAACAACAGCTGGGTATGTTGGGCTGGCGTAATGCATACGCACTTACGGCGCGCAACTTTCCGTCTACTGGTCGAGGGATATGCTCTAAAACACAAAATTTCTGTGCTGGCGATAGACTTATAAGTTTGCCCTTGAAATGCTTAGTGACAATTTGCACATTGGAAGAGTCGTCGCATTTCAAATCACAATTTGATACTAAGAAGTTCCACAAAGACCTTAAAATACCGTTTCAAGCACTACTAGCGCTTTATGTACTGCACGAACAACATCTGGAAGAAGCTTCGCATATAAACGCTTACATAAAATCGATACCCAAACAATTTAGTACACCTTATTTCTGTACAATTGCTGAGTTGCAGCGTCTGCCAGAGGAGATTTTAGAGAAAACTGTAGCACAAAATCGTGTTATACGCGAAAGTTACGCTTGCCTTAAAAATATTTTTCACAATAACAAATGTTGTTATTGTGGCAAACAATATTTCGATGACATCTACACCTTAACTGCATACAAATGGGCTTACTTTGCAGTTAACACGCGTAGTGTCTACGTATTAAGCCGCCAAATTAAACCGGAGAAATGTTTCTTTCAAACAATACTCACTGATGAGCCAAATATGGCTTTGGCACCTTTTCTAGATCTATTCAATCATTCAAGTGATGTTCAAACCAACGCTGATTTGTTACCAATCGGACCGAATAAACAACTAGAATACGTGCTAACCTTGGAGAGCACGAAGTTGGCGTCCGCAATACCACCGCGTAAACAGCTCTTCATAAGCTACGGCACATTGTCGAATTATACACTATTAACCGAATATGGGTTCTTTATATCACACAATCCCGATGATTATTTTAGCTTTTCATTGACTGACATTGAGGAATTTTTGAAACAAGATAAAACATATAGTAACATAATGTTGCATCGCAACAAATTCACCTTCATACGTGCTCATAATTTGCATGATGAAATGTTTGTGCACCTGGAGGATGGTGCTTCTCATAATTTATGCGTGGTGTTGCATCTGCTATTGCACGAGCAGAGTATTTACCCAAATGTGCTGAATCAAGTGGCCTTTGGTTCAGCTGAGCGTCTGGCTAATGTGGAGGCGGAAATACGTTCACTTGTTGGATACAAAATAAATTCTTATAAACGTTTTGTGCACGATTTGGAGCAGCTCACTGCATTGAGTGAGAGTGGTGTAGTAGCAAAGGGTTATTTAGAAGAGTGCATACGATTTTTAAACGATTATTTAGACAAGGCAGCGTAATGTAGTTTAATTGTTAGTTTTTTTAAAATACAATTTTGTATATTTCATATTTTATGTTACAAACCTACTTAATACAGTTATATAAAGCGCGCAAACAATTTTTGAATGAATATTTAGTAAAAGTAGCGTAATTTAGTTTTATTATAGTTTGTAAAAATTTATATATTTTTTGAAATAAAATATTTTACAAAACCTCTTACAAACACTTAATTTTTATCTCATTATTATCTCTTCAATGGCATAGTTTTCTATATTTTATTTTATTGCAGTTCTGTTCCAGTCGCTCCGTAACCGATAGCGATGATGTTTCAAAAAGGCAGCAGAAGAAAATCACGCCATTCACGCCCACACCAGGCAGCAAGTTGCTCGGTGGTGTTCTGGTGAAGAAAGTGCCCAAAGGTAACTAAGAAACAATGAGAAAAAAAAGTATTGCTAAATATGGCATATCAACGAAGAATAACAGCTTAGTCTTAACTGGGGGACAAGGTAAAATTGTACTCATTCCTATGACTACTAATTGTCAGGAATTATACAGGTATCATTACTATGTTGTATATGATTTAATGCCATATACGGACACCTTCGACTATCACTGTGAAAAGAGTTAAGCATGGCTTTGCACATATTTACTTGATTAAAAAAAATTATGTATGTTTATTTCTCGCCACTTGAATAGTATGTACATAAGTACCTGAAGAAGAAGACATAGATCCATCAAAATTTGCACAGAGCTGAGTTCATTTAGCCATCCATGTCTGTCTGTATGTATGTTTGGCCACAAACTAGTCCCTCAATTTAAAATTTTGGGTCATAAATCCGCCAAAAAAGCCTCAGAGCATGAAATTTGGTATCCTACACACACATCATGAGTTACATATTAGTACAGACAATAATCGAAATCAGATGACTTTATCAAATAGCCCTTATACATCCGATTTTTTCAGATGTGAGGTCTTGGGTCCCTCAAAAGAGCATCTAATTGCGGAAGTCTTGGTATTATTGAGACGTAAATACAAATAAATATTAAAAAATTGAAAATCATTGAAATCGATGACTTTAGCATGACCGAAGACGGTACCTTTTTCTTCGTTAAAAATTTCTTTAAGTGCTTCAATTCAAGTGGCTAAGAAAATATCATGCTTTTTCGTGTTTTTTTCGTAGAAAAATTTTAATTAACAAAAAAAAAAAGTGGTTTAAAATTTGCGAAGCCGTTATATAAATATGTATATATATATATTTTTTTAAATTATTGAACACAATAAAGAAAATATTTAAAATAGCTTTATTGAAGCAAACATTGATTGTTGATCATGGCATAATTATTTTTCGAATGCAAGCACTTGTTTTCCTGCTTTGTTTATACCCGTAATTCACCTTATCACCGTACATAATACATTCATATATGCTTACAAATTTATTTCCCTCTTAACTTATTAACACCGTTAATATAAATTGGTAAAATTGAAATTTGGAAATATTTCTGTAATTAACTTAATTTTTGTTTAGCTAACCGTGTGCTAACAGATTTTTCCTTTAGTTTCCATTAATTAAACATCAATCAAACGCTTACTGTTGTTGTGTGACCTTGTTTGGGGTCTTACCTTTGAATTTAGTAATTCCCCACAGGTCCGGCAATAACAGCACAGCGTCTGCCATTACGAAATTGTCATGTTCATTTAGGCGGCACTGATGGGGGCAGTGCGCTGGGGCAGCTTGATGCGCCGGAAGTGACGTCACAAGATATGCTACGTGCAATGATGCACTACATTTGGCCGAAAGAGGATGCTTTGGTGCGAAAGCGGTAAGATATTGATATTCTTATGCATTATATATAACATTTTTGTTGTTGTAATAATTGTGCCAATTTGCTCTCATTTCTCTGCGCTCCATAGTGTGGCTATTTCATTGAGTCTTCTTGTCGGCTCCAAAATGTTGACTGTCTGCGTGCCGTTTCTCTTCAAAGGTGCCGTCGATACGCTGAACACAATGAACACCTTGAACATGGACACACCAGCGGATACAGTGTTATCTGTGGCCACTGCCATGCTGCTGGGCTGTGAGTTCAAATATTTTACCTACAATTAAATGCAACACATTTTAAATATATATGTTCATTTGACTTTTAGATGGCGTTGCTCGTGCCAGCGCTGCCGCCTTCAATGAATTGCGTAATGCTGTTTTCGCTCGTGTGGCACATCACTCCATACGGAAGATTGCAACGAACGTGTTTTTGCATTTGCACAATTTGGATTTGGCATTCCATTTGAATAAGCAAACAGGCGCTTTATCTAAGGTAAAGGATTACGAATAAAAAAAATGCCTTACCTGACATATAAACTATCTATAAACCATTTCAGACAATCGATCGCGGTTCGCGTGGTATAAATTTTGTGCTCAGCGCTATGGTGTTTAACATTGTGCCAACCATTTTCGAATTAGCTTTGGTTTCATCCATCTTGGGCACAAAGGTACTCAGTACACAGTTCGCTTTTAATATTTTTCCATACTCTTTTGATGTGTTGTACTCCTGTTACATGTAATATTCTCTTTCTTCCCGTCCTCTACAGTGTGGCCTCGCATTCGCCGGCGTTTCCATGGGTTGTGTGGGCGTTTACGCTGCTTTCACCCTAGCCGTTACACAGTGGCGCACCAAATTCCGCATTTACATGAATCAGGCTGAAAACGAAGCTGGCAATAAAGCTGTCGATTCGCTCATCAATTATGAAACTGTGAAGTATTTCAATAATGAAAAATTCGAAGCTGGTCGTTACAATGAAGTGTTGAAGAAATATGAAACGGCAAGTTTGAAGACGAGCACAAGTTTGGCTATGTTGAATTTCGGCCAAAATGCCATTTTCAGTTCAGCGCTCAGCATAATAATGTTGTTGGCTGCTAATGAGATTGCTAAAGGCAATATGACTGTTGGTGACTTAGTGATGGTCAATGGTTTGTTATTTCAACTCTCAATACCGTTAGGTTTTTTGGGTAGTGTATATCGTGAGGTGCGTCAAGCCCTACTTGATATGCAATCAATGTTTACGTTGATGAATGTAGATGCACGTATTTCATCAGCACCGAATGCACCACACTTGGCGGTTGGTTTGGATAATGCTTCAATAGAATTCAGAAATGTCAGTTTTGAATATGAGCCGGGTAAGCCGATCTTCAAAGATATGTCTTTCACCATACCGGCTGGCAAAACAATTGCTTTTGTCGGTGGTTCAGGTTCGGGCAAGTCGTCAATGGTGCGTCTATTATTCCGTTTCTTCGAACCAAATTCCGGTAAAATATTCATAAATGGACAGGATGTCAGTGAGGTCGATTTGGACAGTTTGCGACGTGCAATCGCTGTAGTGCCGCAGGTAAGCTTTAAAATACATAATGGAAATTATTTAATAAGAAAACATATTTTTTTATAATAACTGAATGACATTAGTAATGGTCCAAACATGCAAACGATTACAGCTTATGATGTTATTTAAATGTCGTAGCGGTGATGCATTTTTTGTTAATGGTTATTTTATTTATTATATATCTTTTAATTTAATTTCTTTTATATAATATTAATTTTTTTGTCTTAATTTAATTAATTTATTTATTTTAATTTTTTTGTTTTAAATAAATATATTTATTTTTATTTATTTAATTTAAGTTTTGAAAATTTTACTCACTTTAATTTAATTTTTTTATTGCATTTTATTTAGTTTAATTTTACTTTAATTTATTTATGTAATTAAATTTTTAAATTAGTTATCTCTTAAAATTTATATTATTTGATTTAATGTAATATTATATATTTTTCTATTTTCTTCTAAATTATTTTATTTTAATTTATTTTGTTCAGTTTCATTTTATTTTATGTCATTATTTTATTTGTTTTTATTTTTTATTTTATTCTATACTAATTTATAAATTTTTTTATTTTTATTTAATTTGATTTTTTTACTTTCTTCTAATTTATTTTATTTAGTTTCATTTTAAATTAGTGTATTTGATTTTTTTTTTATATTTTTGCTGAAATATAGTTAATTTTAATTTTTATTTGATTTTATTTTATTCCAATTAATCTCATACTTTTCTAACTTGATTTAATATTTATTTTTATTTTTATTTGCTTCTTTATGTTTTCTTTCGTTTCATTAATTGGATTTATTTTAATTAATTTTAATTTTTTGATCAGCATTTTTTTAATTTCTTTAATTTTTATTATTATTTATTCCATTTTAATTTAATTTATTTACTTTTTCCTTTAATTTAGTTCATATTTTATATTTTTTATTTTTCGTTATTAAAATTTTTATTTTATATTTATTTATGTAGTTGTTAATTTTTTTGTTTTTTATTATTTTTATTTACTTTAGTTTATTTTATTATATTAGTTAATCATTTTACCATGTTTTTATTTATTCTATTTTAGTTTAATTATTTTTTAATTTTTTTCATTGATTTTAATTTAACTTATTTTATTTTTATTTCACAACATTTAAGCTTAATTTATTTTAGTTAAACTTTTTTGTTTTTATTTTGTTTAAATTATTGCTCGAGTTTATTATTATTTTTATTTCTACGATTTAATTTATTAATTTTTGCATTCTTTAATTTTGTTTTATTTCACTTTATTTGTTGCATTTAATTTAATTTATATTTTCTTTTATTTGTATTTTTATTTAATTAATTTTCTTAATTTTTAACTTATTTTTTAAATTATAGTTTATTTAATTTTTTATTTATGTTTTATTATTTTAATACATTTATTTTTATTAATTTTCTTTTTAAAATTTTTTTAATTCTTTTAATTTTTTAACTTATATATTAATTTTTAGTTTATTTTATTTTTTATTTATATTTTATTATTTATGTTTTTTCTTTTATTGTTTCAAATTAAATTAAATTTAATTTGTTTGTTTTATTTTAGTTTTTCATTTAATTTATTTCTTTGTTTATATTATTGTTTTATTATGTTTTATTTAATTTACTTTTACTTCAGTTTATTTTATTTTAACTTAATTAAGTTGATTTAATTTCTTTTTATATTAGTTTAATTTATTTTATTTCAATATAAATTAATTTTTTTTGATATTTGATATTATTTTATTTTTTTTATTAAATTTACTTTATTTCGTATTATTTAATTGGATTTATTTAATTTTCCTTTTTTTGTTTTTAATTACTTAATTAAATTATTTTTTTATTTTATTTTTTCTAATTTACTTCCTTTATTTATATAAATTTTTAATAATTATAATTTATAACACTTTAATTAATTTGCACTTAATTTTTCGAATGAAAAAAATCTTTATAACATTTCATCTTATTTCATTTTTCAGGATTCGGTACTCTTCCATGACACTATACAACACAACATTCATTACGGTAACTTGAACAAATCGCAAGAGGATGTGGAGAATGCTGCACGTATGGCAGATCTGCACGACTCTATTATGCGTTGGCCAAAACGCTATGACACACAAGTGGGTGAACGTGGCCTGAAGCTATCGGGCGGTGAGAAGCAACGTGTAGCCATAGCAAGAGCCATACTTAAAAATTCACCGATCTTAATTTTCGATGAGGCCACGAGTAGTCTCGATTCCATTACAGAACAGGTGTGGACAGGAATATGCAAAATTTTATCTAAGCGCATTTTAACATTTTATTTGTTTACTTCTCTGTTCGCAGAATATCTTACAAGCACTTTCACGTGCCACTGCCAACCGTACCAGCATATGCATAGCTCATCGGCTATCGACCGTTATGGATGCCGATGAAATTTTCGTGCTGGAAAATGGGCGCATCGGCGAACGTGGTACACATGCTGAGCTTTTGAAGATGAATGGTCTTTATGCGCGTCTTTGGGAAACACAAACACAACAATTTTGACCGGGACCGACATATGTTAGCGCCATAAGTCCTTAAATATTGTATTATCCACACACACACCCACACACACACACATACATATGTATGGAATTACAACTCCGAATGTCGTTTGGTCAGCGTGTTTTCGTGACGTTTAATTTAATTATTGTTGATTTGCATACATAGAAGCTATTGAATGATTCATTGTCAGTATGTATGTATGTACATGCATACATTGTAGATATAGTACACATAATTTGTTTTAAGCATCAAACTTAGTGAAATCGCAGCCATATCCCCCTATTTAAAAAAAATATATTTTCGCAGTTAACTAAGAGAAGACGTAGAAAGGATAAAGTTTTTGAAACCTAACTATTTTACTGTCGACCTCTTAGTCAATATGGTACAAAAAACATTTGCACTCGTGCGTATGATTCATATAAAATATGAGCGCTTATATATACGTACGCAAATGTTACGCAGTTGTTTATAAGACGAAAAGTGGCTGGCAAACAAACACACTAGTGAATAAAATTCTTGGCATGCATGCATTTGCGTACATACCATATGTATGTGGGTATTTGTTAATAAGGTTCCTGTAAATGACCACACACTGCTGTATTGTGTATAGATAAATATACGTATATATGTAAAATAAAACTATATATTTACAGTTAAAAACATGTAAAGTAAAAAAAGGTATTTCGTTATTTATTTCACAATAAATTTTATTTAAAATCTGTATACAATTTAATAACTTTATTATCCATTTATCACACATTTTCAACATTTTTGATTTAAAATGTTTTGGTTTTTTTTATTTTTTTTTTTTTATAAATAATACTGAGCTGTTTGTTGCTATGTACGATCTATGGCTCCTAATTTCGCTCACGAATTTCTATCGGCATGGGCACATCATACAACAAATACAGTACACAATTTGCCATGTGTTTGAGAAATTGTTTATAATTTTTTACGCGATTCCTAAATTCATCCCAGAGCGGCAAAAGAGGTTTCTTTGGTTTTTGATCAATCGAATCTGTGTCAAGTGAGGCATTATCGATCATTGTTTTGTTCTGTGGAGAAGAAATATACGGATAATACATTTATACATATATTTTGAAATATAATAATTAGGTTAGGTTTAAATGTTTTTAGGTTAACTAATGGTCGGGTAGACCAGCAGGTAAGTTTCATATAAGAAGTTTTTTAATTTTAATTGTAACCAAAGTCAGTTAAAATAAAAAATTTGAAATAAAATAAAGAGTTAACAAAAAATATTTTTTAATAAAATAAAGTCAAATGAAATAAAATAAAATATATCGAAAAACATAAAATGAAATGAAATAATTAGATAAAATGGAAAATAAAATAAATTAAAATAAGAAATACAATATAGATAAAATCAAATAAAAAATAATAATATAAAATAAAATAAAATTATATCACTTAATTAATTAAAATTAATTTAATAACTATTATTTTAGTTTAATAAGAAAAAAGTAAATTGCAAAAAGTAATAGTAAAAAGAAATTATTTAATAAATAGCAAAATGGAATAAATTAAAAAATAATAAAACTAAATAAATTAAAAAAAAATGAAATAATTAAAGAACAAAGAAAAAATTAAATAAATCCAATAAAATAAAATAGTAAATAAATCCGATAAAATAAAATGAAATGAATGAGAGTAAGTTCAAAAAAAAATTAATATATAAATATAAAATAAAAATATTTTTTTTGATAAAATAAAATAAGAAAAATAAATAAATCATTATAAAATAAATTAAACTAGAATAAAAAGATTAATGCAGAAAAAGGTAAATTAATATAAAATTAAACGCAATAAAAAAAAAATGAAAAACAAGAAAAATATAACGAAATAAAAAAAATTAATATCAAGCAAAGTAAAATAAAGGCAAACAAAAAATAATATAAATGTAAATTTAAAATAAAATTTAATTTAATAATCTATTTCAATAATTAAAAAAATGGAATAAAACTAGATTAAACAAATTAAATTTAATTTTATATTAATTGTATAATAATATTATAAAAATTAAAATAAAATTAACAAATAAAATAAATTTAATAAATTAAATACAATGGAATTAAATAAATTAATCAAATTTAAAACATAAAATGTATTAAAAATCATATTATAAATTAAAGTAAAATTAAATAATTTCAAATAAAATAATTACTACTTTAATTTAAATAAAATGAAATAAAATTGAATTAAATAATTTGAAATAAAATTTATATACATTTTATATATACAATATAATATAAAGTAAAATTAGGGAAATTAAAAATATTAAAAGAGAATAGAATTAAAAATATAAAAAACTATATGATAAAAAGAGATAAAGTGAATTCAAATATAAAATTAAATTTAATAAATAATGAAATAATAATAATTAAGAAAAGAAATAAAAAAAATAAAAAAAATTAAAAAAAAAACAAAAAAATTAAAAATTTATTTAAAAGGAAATAAATAATTTGGAGCCGTTAGGTACGGCTAAAAGAGAGGATAGTTTCGTAGTACTACTCCGACGAATGCGGCCTAAGAATTCCCTAAATGTGCCGCTGCAAGCGACTCGCTATATGTATAAATGTGTTCATAATTTAAATCTACTCCATTGGAACCCGCCACGTTTGTTGAAGGAACCTACTTTTGATGACGACAAACAGCGAACGTTTTTACACGCTGTAAGGCATACCTGGCGTAAGAGCCGACTATAATCCAATAAGTACAGCGACAGTCAGGCCTTTATACCGAAATGAAACGGATTTTTATCCGGCCAAGGACAGCCACTCTTGCAACGTTCCCCAAAGAGTGCATGATCACTTTTGAGATTATACACCTGTAATGTTCGGTTTCTCATTGGGAAGGTGTCACTGCCCAGCTGGTTGATGTCCTAGTACGACTAAAGATTGATATCGCCATCGCCCAAAACTTTTGGCGGATGGGTCAAAGCCAAATCCGACCTAGGTTCTTGTGATTATGCCTATTATATGTGTCTGAATCGTACTTATCAGTGCTGTCCTCGCTGCCAAAATAGTGCTTGGCGTAATTGTGAGCTAAAAGGGGTTTCTTCGGCTAGAAACGCCCATCAATTTCGACTCGTCGACTTGCACTCCTGCTCAGCAGCTCGGCATAAGGGATGTGTGAGGTGGCATTTCAAGCTCTCCGCGTATAGTTGGGAATGAAACTTTTTTCGACAATGTCGGAAAAATATTCTGTACGATGGTGATTATCGTACAGTAGACGAGAGAAAATACTCTGGGCAACGTTGTATTCAAACGTAAAGCGTACTATGTGGGAAAGATATCTAGAGTTGCAGAAGGAAACGAGACGTATTTGCAAACAGAAGAAGCAACAGGCTGAAACTCGTGAGTAGGATGAGCTTAAGATGTTGGCCGTCAGGGCTCGAAAATAATACGCAAAGAGGCGTCGACTTAAAAAAAGTTCAAGGCCGGAACATACTGATGTAGGGCGATCTAAATATGTGATTTAACGACTGATACCAGAAGTATATTGCATTTTTGGAGAAAACACTTATCCAACCTACTGAATGGTTCATCGATAGCGATGGAAAAGACGTTCCATCCAAGGAAGTGAGTTCTCTAGTAGAGAATATACAACTAATTTCCTGGACTCTACTACGTCTAAAATTTCCAATAGCAATAGGACCCAATAACACTTTCTTTAGAGCCAGTTGTTAGAGAAATTCTCGGATCAGTGGCTTGCCATCTGAGTCCAATGACTCATCTTGGAAAGAGCTGAATTTGGTTAGGCGGTCAGCTTGAAAACATCACTAACATATTTAATAATACTCACCACAAACGAATAGAGATATGACGAAGGCTTCAAACCTATTGTCGTAATGTGATGTGTCTCCCCACTTTGTAGAGTAAAACTCTTGCCCGCCGTTAGAAAATACGCTTCATCTTCATCATCACTCTTGTAACGCACATTTCCCGCCAAAATAGTTAGCGTAACATTCGTGAGATCGGTTGAAATATAATTATCTAACGTCAAACCAGGAAAGTCGGCTACAAAAATTATATCCGAATAATTACTCCACGCGAGTACTTCATTTGTCATCGTCTTCAATTTCGGACGCATATAGTTGAGTTCATTCAAAAGCGGCAATGACCAGCTCGTGGTTTCAAATGGTGACCATTCCGCCTTTAAAATATCGACACGCGGATCATAGACACGCTGCTGAAAGCGACCATTCATCGAACACCAAATATCAAAATATATGGAAATATTGGTAGAACTTAGCGGGCTAGCCTTTGGATCACGCAAATAATCCTCGCGTATATTGGACTCGATGCATTTGGCATACTGATAAGCCATATCAGCATGTTTTGTCCAACGATCGTACTCGGTAAAGGCATATGGATCCAAGTAGTGGACTTCACCGTTCGCATTGTCCACAAGCTTAACTGATGTCAACACAGTGTCGTAAGTGTGTACCATCATGTTCCAGGAGTAACCATAGAGGCCCTCCGTCCAATTGTTGTAACCTTTTGTGATGAAGTGTGAATATGGCAGGAAAAGTTGGAGGGCGCAATAGAAGAGTATGAGTATGCTGCGAAGTTTGTCAGAGGGACTTGCTGTTGTTGTGGATTTGACTAACTGCTCATCGGCCGCTGCGGCGGGTTGAGTGTTTGCGGTCTGGTTTCGTGGGTTGAAAGCAGTTTCGGAATCTCCTTCTGCGGCTGCTGTAGTAGTAGACCCTATTATTGACTTGTGAGATTGCATAGCAGACTTACTGGCACACACGGAAGTCAAAGTGTTCTGCAAGCATTTGAGGCTTAGCTTACGCGGCCAGCTGAAACCAAAGAAGAGTGGCACCTCTGCCAGACATACCCACGGGAACATGCCTGAAAATTTTATTTATAACAATTTGATACATTACATAGACTGGTTCGTAGTAATAATACCTATCACGAACAGTCGTGAGTTCATCAGGTGAAAACTGAGCATGAAGGGTGTGGCCAGCCATCTGCTCGCCTCCCAGGTCATAAAGAATGCTATTGAGAAGTCAAAAATCGCTGTAAACCAATGCACAATTAGGAGATCCGTCAATTCAGATGACAACAAAGCGCGAAATGGCGTAAAGACCCAATGCTCACTAAGGCTCGTCATGGCATAACCGGAGAGCCATTCAGCAGTGAACTTCTTTAGACCCGCATACATATAGAGCACAAAGAATTGGAATTTGATGAGGAAGTAATTCCAATATGGCACAGTGTCGGACATATTTGGCTGTAGGTATTTATCCAAAGAGCTTTGCAGTTGGAAGAAAAAAAGAACAAATTCAATATTTCCACATCGCCAGGTCACATTCTATTTACCAATAACGATTAGCATTCGTAAAGAGTAGTATTGTGCCGACCAAACCGAATAAATAACTATGATTATTCCACGCCGGCTTATCGAGCAGAAACATATACCAATAGGGCACGATGTACGCCAGGCAGCTGAGTCGAAAACGATAGCCCAGCGTTATGCCAAGTGCGCCCAACCACATGATCAGATAAATGCAACCCATCACGGGCAGCGAAACAGCGCTGATGCCATTGAAAAGTGGGAAGTGACAATGCCGAGGCTCACCGAAACGTGTGTCCATTTGGCTGCCGCCACGCTCCTCCGCTATGTCAATGCACATGGCCAAACCTAAATTTCGTACGCCAGTTAATATAGCAATCAGAAATATTAGGGGGTTAAACTTCGTCTTACCATAGAGCATACGAAACACACCGAGCGCCGACGCATCTACAGGTCGATGTAGCCAATTTGTGAAGTGCGTGTAGTTTGTGAAGGTGTCTACTTTATAACCAGTGCAAGTGTAGAAGATGTCATGGAACTTGTGCTTAGTTTGGGTGTGACGGATACTCGTCTTCTTTGCGTCAACTTCTCCATCGCTTTCAGGCATGTTTGTTTCATTTTCAGTATCGTCTTTTCCATTATCTGCGTTGCTACTCTCCTGACGCTCTGAATTTTTAGTAACTGTTGACCTTTTTGTGGCGGTCATACTGCCTGTAAAGATATCTGGAAAGTGTGTTCAAAAAAGGTTATTAATATTCACTTGAATATGTATTTTGAGAGGTTTGGAGGCTTCTACGAGAGATAGGCTACAGATAAGAGAACAACAAAGGGCTTTGTTCAATTAGTGTCCCAGTCCCCACTTCCGGGTATCTGCGTCTTAAAGTTAATGTCGATAATTGATGTCGTTGCCGTTGTAACGGTTTTGCAACGGGGGAAAACGGGCTGTATCGACGAGTTCGGATCAGAGGGAAAGTGTGGTTAGATGTTTTGGTTTCAGGGTGCATGCAAAGAGGTGGTTAGTGTCGTGCGGAGACTCTTTACATTCTGGACATACGTTAGGTAAGTAGGGGTGGAGGCTGGATAAGTAGGATATCCAGACATGAGTTGTACCAGTACTACGCGTTACTCGAGCTCGAGCTCTTCATTTGTTATGGGTGGTGGTTTGACTCCGAGAACGGCATTCACAGGCTGAGAGCTCTTTATAGTAACTGACTCTTGGTGAATGGCGTTCAGTGATTGTCTGCACGCCGCTGTTGTTGTTATTGTAACCACAAAATATTTCCCGAATTCGTTTTGGGGAAATATTGCGGGAGTGACGGTCCTTGGTCGGATAAAAATCAGGTATAAAGAACCGACTGTTGCGGGAACTATTGGATTTTAGTCGCTTCTTACGAAAGGCTTGCCTTACCTGGGGTAAATTCTTGAGTCCCTAACAGGACAGGCCGTCCTGTCCAGCGGATCTTGTACATGTTGCTGAATGCAGTCCTCTAAGTCGAGTGCTTCCTTTCTGATGTGCCTGGGTAGAACTTCTGATTCCAATAACTGTCTGTTAGGGCGCTCCCTTTGGCTGGTGTTCGGCAGTATGCGCAGACGACGAGTCACTCGTCGCCTCAGTGTAAAAAATCAGAAAACGAGACGCGATCACTGAATGATACCCCGTTTAAGTCAGTGGGTAACATTAGTCGATAATTGATGCTAAACTGTGCTGAAAAAAGGTGTGAAAGCTAACTCCCTGAACCTCTTCTATACCAAATTGAACATAACAGTGTCACCACACGAAAAGATGTCAGCCGATTGATAGTGACGGCTGTAAATGGATCACGTCCGTACTTCAGCTGTAAATAATGACGATCTTATGAATGTGGCGGTCCGCACAGGATCAAAAAGAGTAGGGATTCAAGAATTTTTCGGTCCTACGTCAGTCGGGGAATGTTTTTGCGGTTACAACACAACAACATTCGACCGAAATTTCGATAACTGATTAGTAGGAGGAAACATATTGAAGACAAGCCGAAAAGAGGTCTCCCAATTCCACCATGTCAATATCAGGGCTATTAAGCAAGTATGGAAACCCAGCTTGGAGTACAAAATTAAAGAAGACGAACCTCGTTAAACCTCGCTAGACTGTTTATGAAGCAAAGCAGGTGCGCTGGTAACTTGGTAAGCCGTGGAGCTTCTCTTCGACAACAACATATTAAACATTTTTCTTATTAAGCAGCCTTAGCAGTTAGCCACCTAGAGGTCTAACCTAAAAGCCAATAGTCTTAAATGCTTTAAACTGATACGGACGGACATTAACTTACAACTTTCGTGCTTATCTCTACGCTATTCGTGTAAATATACACTTCATGGACGTCACCATATAGAGCCGAGAGAGCGACTTTTAAAGACCACAAATATCTTAATTTCACAGTAAACTGTGCGACGGTATTTCAAGATTTCAAGCTCCCACCGTACAGCTACTAAATACCTACCTTGCATTTTAGTGATTGATGGCTACGCGGGTTGTATCGGAGAGTTACCGAGAGCTAAAGAAAGAAAGACGTGAGTATGAAGAGCTTTAGAAGCTAGCCGACACGTGGAAATGCTCGAAAACTCTTACTCACAGAAGGTTTCAAGGCCGGAGAATAGTCATGTACGACACAGAGATGTAATCTAAGGACTTAGGTCCACAATATGGTGAATTTATGGAGGGGTTCCTCTAGGAGATTGCGATTGCTCAATTGATAACGATGGAACAGACATTGCACTACCCAACTATGAAGAAGTTCGAAAGCAAGAAGAGCAACGTGGCTGGAGCCGATGGCTTACTAGCTGACGGCGAAGAATTGGCAAAGTGCATCAGTTTTTTTTTTGTTTATGGTCAGATGAAAGCCTGCCCGAGGATTGGAATCCAAATGAACACTGTCTAGACCACACATGTCGTTGGATAAACCTCCTCAATATTGCACTGAGCGAACTGTGTGAAAGATTAAGGCTCACCGTCATTGAACCGGCTGCACCTTATCAGTGTGGCTTCAGATCTGTCAAATTCTCAAAAGACGGGACTTAAACTTCGTAGATTTCAAAGCGTTCTTCGGTAGTCCGAAAACTAAACTTATACTGTGAGCAATTTTAAAAACTGCATCAAGACCGGGAAGGAGCTTTCCGAGTCGTTTGATACTGAACGAAGTTTCAGAAAAGGTGACTCTACCGTGGGGCTTATTCAACTTGGTTCTAGAGGGCCAAACATAGAGATACAAACTTCTAAAATCGTATGCAACTTCTGAGGAAATGAGGATGAAATTGATATCATTGGCCTCAACAGCCACCCAGTTAGCTCTGATTTCTCCAGACTGGAGATGAATAGGTCTGACAGTGACCGAGGTCATCAAGCAAAGAGTCAACGTATAGGCATTTTGGTTCCGAAATCACTGTTGACAGTCATAACATGAAAGCTGTGAAAAGTTTCGTCTATCTGGGGATCAAATGTAGCATAAATTCAACACAAAATCACTTTTCCTTCAGATGCTAATGAACTGCAATGTCAACGTCTCATCATTCCTATCTTATTATTCATTTTATGGGCCGACGCTAGATTTTTCTAGAGCAAGGTTCTGCGACCGGTTTATGGACCCTTACACACTGGCTATGGTGAATACCGCAGGAACTGGAACGATGAGCTTTACGAGATATATGTTCTGCTTAAGGTAGCAGAACGTTGATGGAAATTCAGATTAGGTCTACTATGGCTCAAGAATTTACTCGTGGTAAGAACCGACTAAAACCGACAGCCGGAACGAACCGAATTTTTATCCACCCATGGACTATCACTCTCGTAATATTTTCTGAAAACCAATTCGGTAGGTCAGCAGAGAAACCCTTCAAAGTGGAGTCTTCTCGCTTTTTCTATGAGTCTTGCTGAGATACATGGAGGTGAAAGGAGGATGTAAGGGCATAGCGTATGCCGAGGATCTGGCGGTTATAGTGATTGGTGAATTCCCACAGACTTTACGTAATATTATGCAGAGCGGGATGGCTGGATTAGGTATCAACCTACAGAGCACATGAACTTGTTCTCTTCACCAAGAAGTATATACATATAGTATATATATACAAAGTTTTCAACATCACGCAGAGAGGTTGGGCATCTAACGACTTGCAAATAAGAAGAAGAACCCAAAACCTTAAGGCACTTTTTCTCCGAATTAACCGCACTTTGAAGGAGTAGGTTAAAGTCTTAATCCATTTCGAGGTTGCCTACTTAAAAACTAAAACTAAGGAATTTCAACTTTAATGGGCAATGTTTATTATTGTATCATTCGAAAGAATATTCCTTGGCATTTATTTTTTGAAGATTATCTCTATCAAATGCTGAGTCCAATCTTCGATGACTCGTTCGAGTACTTCGACTGATAGCTGGTGATATTTTGCTTCAAGATCTACTGCAGTGTTCTCTCAATAAATCCAATGACTGATGCGGTGTGTGAAAAGTGTTGCCGTCTTGTTGAATTCAGACATCGAATAGTCGGTTATCATGGCTCTTCATAACTCTTAAATCCCAAACAATACTGAACAAAAATATTATGACAAATTGACACGTTCCACACGTAATCTGTCAAAAAAAAGAGCTGTTGAGAGAAGTTGTTGTTGTTGTAGCGGTTCGCTAACTCCGCTTAGGCACAGGTTTGATCAGTCTAAGTCGACGAGGTCATCTAATGGGAGGTCCAGGAAATGAGCTGTTTCAACGGGGTTGGACCAAAGGGAGAGGGGGGTTAGAAGAGTGGGTTTGAGGGGCATGCGAAGAGGTGGTTAGTGTCGTGCGGAGACTCTCCACATGCAGGGCATACATTGGGTATGCTGGGGTCTAGTCTGGATAGGTAGGAGTTTAACCTGCTACAATATCCAGACCTGAGTTGTGTCAGGGTCACGTGGGTCTCTCGAGGCAGCTCAAGCTCGTTGTCTGCTATGGGTGGTGGTATTTCTCCGAGTACGCCATTCACTGGAAGGGAGTCCTTGAAGGTGTTGACTGACTCCTGGTGCTTGTCGGTACGCCGTCCTGTCCAGCGGTTGTTGTATGTGTTGCTGGATTGTGTCCTTTAAGTCTAGTACTCCCTTTCTGATGTGCCTAGGTGGAGGTTCAGCCTCTATTAGGTGCCTACTGGCGTGCTCCTTGCGGTAGCATCCCAATAGGAACTGCTTGCACAGCAAAGCATTATGCTCCTTAACTCGTAGCATAGATGCTTCCCTGTGCAAGTGATGCTCCGGCGACATCAGGAGGTTTCCTGTCGCGGTCCTGAGGGCGGTGTTCTGACAAGCCTGCAGCTTCTTCATCTGCGTCTCGTTCGTCCCTGGCGTCCAGATCGGTGCAGCATAGTTTACGACCGGCCGGCAAATTGCTTTGTAAGTAGCCAGCAAAGTTTCTTTATCTTTACCCCAGGTGCCGCAGGCTAGCGCTTTGAGTATTTTGTTGCGGCTCTGGAGTTTTGCGGAGTGAAGGATGCAAACTGTCTAGAGTTAGTCCCAATATTTTAGGGTTATTTACCGTCGGAATTTTTGTGTCATCGACCTTCACATCTAGTTCAAGTCTGTATTCCTTCGTCCAGCTGGTGAAGAGGGTAGCCGAGTATTTTGTCGGTTGAATTCATAGTTGTCTTGCAGTGAAGAAGTGGGAGAGATCAGCGAGGTAGCCGTTTACTTTCGAGCAGAGGTCATCAATATCCTGGCCAGACGCCATTATGGTACAGTCATCGGCATACGAGGTTAGGGAAACTCCTTCTGGTGGTGGAGGGAGTTTCGAGATGTAAAAGTAAAAGAGTAGTGGGGAGAGGACACCACCCTGCGGAGCCCCCTGTTTAATTTTTCTGAGTTTAGATGTTACTCAGGTAGCCCATGACCCACCTCTGCAAAGCCGGTGGTAATGAGGATTCCTCAATGTCCGTTAGTAGCACAGAGTGATTGACTGTGTCAAAAGCTTTTGACAAGTCCAGTGCTACTAGGACAGTCCGCGCGCAGGGTCGGTTTTGGTTAAGGCCATGGACTATCTGGGTGTTTATGGCGTTAAGTTCTGTTGTGGTGCTGTGCACTTTTCGGAAGCCATGCTGATGCGCTGCTGGACGCAGATGGTGAGTGAAGGTCGGGAGCAGTAAGGCCTCAAGTGTCTTCGCTACTGGGGAGAGGAGAGTTATCGGCCGATAGGAATTGGGGCATTTGATCCTTAGTACTTCAGCTTTAATTAAAATAAATATATATATATATATATATATATATAAATATAAAACACATATATTTTATTTTTTTCAGAATTTTATTTAAAAATTCGACATAAATACATGCATGCATATTGTATACTAAATACACTTTGAATAAATAACTACCATTATTATTATTTTTTTTTTTGGTATTTTTATTTAATTTTTCTCTTAATTTTTTCACTAAAAAATGAACTTTATTGCAGAAATGCGAATATTTCGGATTTTTTGTTTTTTATTAAACTCCTACTTAAAAAAACATTCGCTTCACACTTTATACGAACATATGTGTACGTATGTATAGTGCCTGCCTACAGCTGCAATGTTAACGTACATATACGCATACACAAGCAAGGAGCTTATGTACGTACATATGTACGTATGTATGCATGTGTGCCGGTGTGTCTTCAGTTCTTGCAATAATGCAATAAAATACAGTGCAACATTTCAGCTGTTTTTGTTGCAGTTGTTATTGTTATACACTTGCTATAGCACACACAAACATGATTAAAATGATATAAAATACCGTCAATTTGCATTTGAGAATTGAGAATTACTACAATCTTAATGCCAGCCGAAATGGCGGACACTCATGCAAAAAATTGCGGTGCTTATTGATTTGGTTTTCTTTTAAGTTGTTGTTCTTGTTGTTAACCAGTAACATACAAGTACATATGTATGTATACTCGTATATATGTATGTATATAAATGTTGATTAATTTCATATCATAATTTTAGAATTTTTGAAAAAATCTTTCTGTTTTTCGAGAAAAAATTTGCATTTAAAACACTACAAATACAACAATCACATTGTATTAAACATACTAACAGCTGCACATATACATATAACATACATACACGTACATATATTTATGTTCATACACAAGTACGTGTGTGTGTGTGTGTATGTATGCGTGTATGTGCATGCGCTTGCAAGTTGGAATATTTCAAAATTTAGCAGTTAATCGTCTTTCACATGGATAGTCCATCATCTTCTTTTTGAAATGGTATAAGTATGTATGTATATGTATGCAATAGTATAAGTAGTATGTAGTATATTTCTTTGCAATAAGTTAAATTTTGACAATAAATAAAGAATTCCATTACTCTTTCTCATTCCTTTTTCTGCATTTGGCATTTTCTGCCTTTTTGCTGTTCTAACGACTATTATTCATTTGTTTGTTGTTGTAAATTTGAAAATTTGGACTGCGAAAAATTGACAGTGCCCTTTAAATATTAAATATTAATTATTTTGTGTGTGAATAAGTACATAGTTAGTATGTATGCAATTATATAATATATATATATTTTTTTTTAATTTTTTTAGAAAGAAAGTTTGTTTATTATATTTTTAAAAAAAATTATTTTTGCAAGGGAATTTTCTGCGAAAACGAAAATTGGTTTAAGGTTAGTAGAAAAAACCAAATAATCATAATTACTTAGTAGTAATTATAGGGAAAAGTTATATTTTGAAATTATTGTTTTGTGTATTTTATAGTTTTCGTCTAAGAAATTTGTCGTGTCCGACTACTAAAACGGTTAGTCGTTAAATTATTGACTTTTTAATTTAAGTAGGTATTAGTACTACTTTTGTTTTGCCCTCTAAATGCAATATATATATATGTAAATATTATGTGACTTAAATATTAATATTCGTTAAAGCATATCAAAGCAGAAAGTTTTAAAATTAAAAAAAAAAAATGTTCATAATAAGGAGACCATATCAATGTCATAAAACCTTGATAAGAGTATATATTAGTTATATAAAAAAATACATTAAATGAATTTCCATTAATAAAGGTTCTGAAAAACATTGGTAGCTTTTTATTTTATAGCTTGTGTTTTATTTAATTAAACTTCATTCGTTTTTGTTATTTTTTTGCAATTGTTTAATTTAAATTTATTTCATTTTGTTCGAATTTTATTTTGTTTAATTTTACCTTATTTCAGTTTAATTATTTTTTATTTAGTTTAATTTTAATAATAGCTAAACTTGCTAATCTTACTATATCTCATTTTATTTTTTTTATTTTAATTACTTTATTTCATATTATTTTTTTTACTTTAATTACTTTATTTCATTTTATTTTTTTTTTATTTTAATTACTTTATTTTATTTTATTCAAGTTTAATTTTTTATTTCACTATGTTTGGTTTTAAATTTTTTATTTTATTTTAGTTTTTCTATTTTATTGAGTTTTAATCAATTTTATGGGGTTTTATTTAATTAATTCATTTTTATATATTAATCTTTTCTATTTTAGTTAATGTTTTTTTGGTAAACTTATAGTTAATTGTTTATTATAGCTATTCATTTAATATAATTTTTATTTGATTGTATTCTTTTTTTTACACTTTATTTTTTTAATTTTTAATTTATTTTATTTTTTTAATTTATTTTTTTTTTAATTTTTTTTAATTTATTTTTTAAATTTATTTTTTTTTTTAATTTATTTTTTTTTTTAATTTATTTTTTTTTTTAATTTATTTTTTTTTTAATTTATTTTTTTTATNTATTTTATTTTATTAATTTATTTTATTTTATTAATTTATTTTATTATATTAATTTATTTTATTATATTAATTTATTTTATTTTTTTAATTAATTTTTTTTTAATTTATTTTATTTGTTTTTATTTATTTCATTTTTTTATTTATTTGATTTTTTTATTTAATTATAATTATTTATTTATTTTTTCATTTATTTAATTTTTGTTATATGTTTTATTTTTTTATATTATTTTTTATTTATTCCATTTCTTTATTTATTTATTTTTACTTTTTCATATGTTTTATTTTCTTATTTATTTTTATTTTTTATTTATTATTATTTTTTTATTTATTTATTCTTTTTTTAATTTATTTTTATATATATTTTATTTTATTTTCTTATATTTATTTTTTTATATTTATTTTTTTTTATATTTATTTTTTTATATTTATTTTTTTATATTTATTTTTTTATATTTATTTTTTTATATACATTTTATTTTATGTTCTTATATTTATTTTTTATATATATTTTATTTTATTTTTATATATTTGATCTATTAAATTTACTTTATTTAATTTTTTATGTTTATTTTTTTTTTTTTTTTATTTATTTTTATATATTTTTTTTATTGTTTAATTTTTTTATTTTTTTTATTATTTTATTGTTTAATTTTTTTATTTTTTTTATTATTTTATTGTTTATTTTTTTTATTATTTTATTGTTTATTTTTTTAATTTTTTTTTATTGTTTTATTTTTTATTTTTTATTCTTTAATTTTTTTTTAAATTTTTTTGGTTTTTTATTATTTTATATTTGTAATTTTTTGTATTTTTTTTTAATTTTTAGTATATTTTTAGTTTTTTATATATTTTGAATTTTTTATTGTACGTATTTAATTTATTTTTCTTAATTTTTTAATTGTACTTATTTAATTTATCCTTTTTTTTTATTAATTTTTTTAATATTATTGCATTTATTTAAAATAATCATAAATTAAAAAAAAATACTGTAATTGTTTTACATATATGTATTTGTTTAGTAGGTCTCACATTTTTTTCGGGATTTGCATTACTGATCTCAAACTGTGTTTTATATTTTCAATACAAGATACATAATTTTTAAGATATTCACCAGTTTTCGTCTTTTTGCTTTTTATACGGTATCATTTTGGTAACGTACGCTTTTTCTTAAATGTTTTAAATATATTTAGTTGTTGGTTTTTGCTATGCTTGATAAGTGTGTAAGTAAGTACGACAAATATTTTTATGTTTTTATTTTGTTTTTTTAATTACTAGATAAATCATGCTCATAATTTTCATAAATATATATGTGTTTTTGTTTTAGCAATATGATTTTTTTATAAATAGATCTGCATATTAAAATTGTTTTTGCATCAAATTTCATATTTTTCTAAAGACTTGAAATACTCTTTAAAATGTTTATTTTTTATATTTTTTGAATGAATTAATCAGGCAAATCGTATTATTTTATTTTGCATGAATTTTTTGAAATTAATACATATTTATGTATACATAGTCAATATTTGAAAATGAAAGCCAAAATTGTTAGCTGCTTGAGCCTAATTCACATTCAGAAAATGTAAGAATTCGCATATTTAAATATATACATACATATATGTATATATGTATATATAATATATAATATTATTTTTTATTTTCGAAATCGTTCACATTTTTCTCTATTCAATTAATTGCCTGTTTTGCCCCCTTAATGCCATTGAATCGCTCTGTGTTAACCAACCCCACACTTCTCTTCACTATATAAACTATACACGTACACTTATTGCGCTCTCGCTTTCCCCCACCCACCTAACTTCACCTCTTTGCGGAAAAGCGAAGGACTTTGTCTCTATCATACACACATTCCATACACCCTGACCTTTTCTCTCTCTTTTACTTGGCAACAGCTGTGGTCTCGCTTGCATATGCAGTTGACGGCTCGGCTGCTATGGCTACTTCTCCTGCTCTATCACTCCCCTCTTCCTCAACATCTACATCCACATCTGCTTCTGCTTCGTCTTCCTCTTCCTCGTCTACGTCAGTCTCTTCTTCTTCGTTCGTTTCATTTTCCGGCACCGTCACTACCATATCTTTTTCAACACCACCATCAGCAACAACAGCACCACAGGCTGTTTTTTCATATATTTCCTGTGTTTCCATTGTTTCGTTTTGCTTTTCTACCGCCGCCGTTACTGCTGCTTGTTCTTCTTCTTCTTCTTCTTCTGCTTCGTTTACATTGTTCTTCACCTGTTCTTCAGCACTCTCCTCACAGCTTGTTGTTGCACCCTCTACAGCCGGCTGCTTATCGCTTTTCGATACCGCTGCTGCTGCTGTTGTTGTTGCAGTCGAAGCGGCTGTCGCTGTTGCCGGTAATTTGCGTAGCTCGCGTTGTTGTTGTTGTTGTTGCCTCGGCTCGATTTGCTTTTCGTCATCACCCTCCCCGCCATTCTCCTCCCCATCCTCCTTGGTCCTTTTCCGCTTCTTCTTCTTCACATTTATCCGTCTGCGATTAGCGCTCTCATCCACACGCCCTTCAATGGCTTTGCCTTATATACGATTCTGATTCAATTGTGAACGTGGTGTGAATGGACTGACCATAACACCACTGGGCCAGATATTCTCATTGAATAGTTCATTGAAACGATAATCCGGTATGGAAATTTTAAATTTACAATATGACAATTGTGATAGATTAGCATCGTTCTTAACCAATTTGGTGCATTTGACTAGATTCTTATTGATCTTCAACTCCTCGGCCAAATGTTCGATAATGTCATCCTCACTAGTCGAGGTGGCAAACTTGCCCACCTGCACCCAACGCCCATAATCGCAGACAACTTGCAGACGATCCGAATTACAATTATTACCAACGACGATGAGGTTATTCGTTTGCTTCTTCGGGTCGACATTGTTCGCATTGCCGAATTGGAAATATTGCTGATACATACGTGTCGAGATCTGATTCACGCCATTGTAGACTTTATTCAATTTCTCCTCCATCGTCTGCAACTTGACGGCGAGGGCTTTGGGCGATTGATTTTTACAATCCTCGCAGTTGAATGAAATCAGGGGATTCTTCTGTATGGCATCGTACAATGCATCGTCGATGTTCACACAAGTGCGATGGAACTTTTTCATGCAATCGTCTGAGTTGCATATGACGAGACCCTCTTTGGCAATTGATTTTTTGCACTTTCCACAATTTTCGGCCATTTTGCTGATTTTCTCCGCTCTGCTGATGACTCGAGTGCGTGTGGGCTTGGTTGTGATGCGTTTTGTAACTAACTATATATATATATATTGTATATATACACGTATATATATATATGTATATAATGTGGTGCAGTCGTTAGCAATTTCTTTTAATTTTCCGATTTTTGATTACCACTTTTGTCGGTATAACAACAAGAGAAGTGTGTGAAAAAATCCACCAGTACCCACTGAAGGTTGAAACTGAATTTATTGAACCAACCCGTGCTGAACCGAACACTGAACAACGGAATGGAATGAGTTTTAGTGGAGAAATAGAATATTTGCTGAAGTACGTGAGAAGTTGTGTGTGCCGCTTTCGCCCAAGCCGCTAACTGTTCCGTACGCTCCGAGTGCTGTTGTTCAACTGTTCAACTGTTCGAATATTCGCTGCCTCGAATGCTAGTGGTTACTCCCTGTCGGCTTTTTGTCTACTTTGCCATTATACAAGTACCATGTTAGTGTACCTACCTACCTACCAACACCTATATTATTTACATATTTACTTGTATACATAATTTTGTGAGAATTTTCGTCCACAACACATCAGACCAAACAAGTACTTGTGCTTCGCGCCCCTCTTCTTGCGTCCCATTTGTATGTGCTTTTGTCGCAAAGCACTTCAGCAACGTCATACGTTTGGTCGTTTTACATACGACTCTATGATATCGACTTGGCTATGTATGCAACCCCTATTGGTATTAATCATCCCTCAACCCCTATTCGCACACTCGGTGATGTTTGTGTAATCGACACTCGCTTGTGTGCAGCACTTGATTAGTAACCGTATTTCTCAGTCAGTTCCATGACCCTTGTTTTGCTGCAGTTTTATTTCGTATTCGGTTACCTTGATGTTTGGTATTTGGTTCACATACTTCAGTGTTGGCTAACGTTGGGGAATATGAAATGTAGAAAACAACCCCATAGATTAATACCCTCTATACCGTGGTTTCAAGAGTACAGGACTGTATTTTGACGTCTGTATAACCAAACAAGTTTTGTTTTGGTCAAAAGCCCGGCTTTTATGAAAATGGATCACTTAAATGCATCTTATTTAGTCAGTAAAAATGCTCAGACTGAACCCTCCACGAGGTAGCCGATTGGTAATGGACACTGCATAGCAATCCGGTACATTGTCGGGCGGGTATCCAGCTAAGATCAAGAATCAATGATATGGGCGTATGCTCCTTAACAACTATGCCATATAAATAAAAATGGTTCTCGATCGTGGTTATGGGGTGGAGCTGGATCACAAAGTGTTACCTGTTTCCGTGTCGTGGATCAGCCTGACGAGGGGATCCTAAAAAGTCCAGTCTCGGTGGGCAGAAGAGAGGGGATTATTAGCGGCATTTGAGTTGTTTGCCAAGGATTGCAGATTGTTGTCTCCGATACCAGCGAAGGCTGTGTGCAGGCCTCACATGGACCTTACGGCTTTAACAAAAACCGAGGATCGTCAAAATCTCAAAACAGCAAGCTATAAATGTAAAAGGCTTGTCAGGAGGATTCTGAAAAGATCCGCTTTAATAAGTGCCCAGACGAACAGTGCAGGAAGCAGCGGACGTATGGTCAATACCCAAATAAAACCCATATCAGACCCATAAGTCTGACTTCCTTCCTGCTAAAGATAGCGGAACGATTGATGGAGATTCCAATTAGGTCTACTTAGATCCAAACCAACACGCTTATAAGTCAGGTTAACGGAGACAGCGTTACTCATGGCTGTATCACAAATTGCGAGATCTATCTCGGCCAAAGAATGCAGCCTAGAGGTTTTCATGATATTGAACGTGCCTTTAATTATAAAGGGCTGACTGCAGTTACTTCTGCCTAGACTTGCCTAAACATCGATCCTCAGTTGATTTCTTTTATACGCCAAATGCTGAGATGTGGGGTTGTAAAATATGAGATCGAGGGGGATGTCTTAGGACTTAGGTATGTTAGCAGACAAACCCCAAAGGTTGAAGGTTTCTTCAGAAGTTGCAGCAAGAAGAAGAACCTGAAACCTTAATTAACAGGTAGTGTAGGATTCTGTTTAAATAGGATTAGTAGTCTATAAATAGCAGCCTTAGTGTGAACTGTCTAATGTATTACCTCGGGATTTGTCTCCCCAATATCGTAATAAGGTACGATCCAGCGTATTTTGTGAAAGACTAAAGTCCACAGTCAACAATGGTATGGAATCAACAAACTGATTGGTTCCCCTCATTGAGGCTTAGACCTGCTAAATCCATCATAAACCGGAAAATCTTGGAAAATAACCGTGAAATAAGAATCGATTTTATAGCTGCGTTCGATGGCACGATCAAGACCTGCTTCTATGCCGCTACGTCTGAGTTTGATATCCTCGCACCATTTATATGGCTAAGTAAACTGACCTTAAGCAACACTAAAAGCTCCGTCAGGATCAGGAAGGACCTCTCAGAGCTGTTCGATACCAAACGAGGTCTCAGGCGTCACACGGCCTCATGTTACTTTTGACATCGACTTTAATTCTCCAGGTCATTACTCTGAGCAAACCTAACTAGCACTCATATATGTGTAGAATATACGGAAATCATGTGAGTCCAATTGAGGTCAGATTAAATACTACATTTCGGATCAATATATAACCATATTAACTTTCTAAGTTGCATTGGCTCTGTTCTCTTTTAGGCAATATTTTTTTAATATACATGTATTCAAGTAAATACTCTGAAAATTTCGAATCGTTCCGACTGTTATTTTGGAAGTTACACGCATTTCTGTAACGACACGTCAGAACGCTAAGCCGGTGCTTTTAAATCTTTAACCTCGTTTTACTCAAAACTATGTTTTTCAAGTTGGCGACCAAGATTTCTCGGTCTGAGATTTTTAAACGTTCTTCTGAAAACTTTTCTCTAGTGCATTACCGATGAAAAGTTTTTTGATGCGCAATTCAAGACCAAAATTATGGAGAAAAATTAATTTTTTTTGTTTTGAGAACTCGCGATTTTGTTAAATTTTTTTTTGCTTATTCCTTAAATTAATGACAAGATTTTACTTCAAAGAAATCCGTTTGAACTGTTTTCATTTCAAATGATTCACTACGCAAAACGCCTTTATCGGGAGGTGTCCCTAGAGATCAGCTGCAGTAGCTTCAAAAACTGTTAGTTTTATAAATAAAAAGTTGCCAACTACTCTTCAAAGGCGCCATAATATAAGTAAAAATGTTCAAAATAATAAAGCTAAAAGTTTCCTCATGAAAAATGTTTGAATACCGAATACTTAAGGGCTCCTCTCCATCTAGTAGTAACCTCTTAAGGCAGAGTTTAGAACCAGAAAAAAAAACATTTTCTGAAAGGGAAAGAAACTATTGCGGTAAACGAAGTTTTCAGACAAAAGAGTACTATATTTAAGCTTTAAAAAAATATTGGAATTTTCCAATGTTGTGATGAGTTTTCTCAAGCGCTCGCCATCCGAATTCGTCAAACGGTGTTGGTGAGGCAGGTCATGCGATGCATATGAAACAGTCGAACCAATTTTTTTCTTAATTTTAAGATGGTATCTTCTATAAGAACTAAAACTCAAAATACAGAATAAATCTAAGGATACAGAAGAAATTGGAAAATTCCAAATTTGTTTAAAAAAAAACTCGCTTTTTCTAAGAAAAGTTTAAATAATACTTTTTTGTCCAACTTTTTTAATTCAAATCAAGTTCCAAAAAGGAAGGTAGTTTCACTTAATATTTGTTTTTGCAAAAATATTAAACATCTGACATTTTCACTTTTTAAAAAATAAAATTTCAACTTTCTAAAATTAAAAAAACTTATTACAAAAAATTTAAAATCTTTCAATGATTTATTACTGTATCTAGATAACTTTAATTTTTGTCGATTGGACGTGCACTCTTTCTGCTATCACCGGCACCGTTTCCTAAGACTTGTTGAAATGAAAACTCGAGAAAACGCGCTTCAAAGTTCTGCCCGCGCATTCGGACCTGCTCGGCGCCCGACCATTAAAATTGCTCTACCTTCGGAAATACATACGTGTATGTCGATTTGGCTGCTGAAATTTTGTAGAAATATTTCGGGATAGTTTTAGAACAGATTGAAGAAAAAAAAAGCATTTTTTAAGCCCCTAAGGTCTGCTACTGCTTTAATCCGGATATACATATGTATGTACCTAAAATCGTGCGACTTAACGTTTTTCAGAATTGATTTTGAATCAAAAATGTTCAAGTTTAAGATGTTGCTGAATTTGTATTGTATATGGTGGCCGTTTAATAATGAACAGCGGCTCGTAAGTTTATGTAAAGAATATTATATATCAAGCCGCCTCTGAACGGCTGATGGTTTTTATATGAGGAGCCTTTATTTCATGTCCGAAATACACTCGAATATGCCAACCCCTTCCCTGCCGAGGGGCGACTGCAATTAAAAAATTTAGCTTGGGATTAGTCTCCTTAATACGGCATATAAAGCCCTATCGCGCGTATTGTGCGATTGACTAGACTTGGCTCGTATTCACCATGTCCAAAAATCTTGGAAAAGACCCGTGAAAGAATGACACACATCACCTCTTCTTTGATTTAGAAGCTGCCTTCGACAGCACGAAAAGGAGCTGTTAGGTCTGAGTTTAGTATCCCCGCAAAACTTAAACGACTTTGCAAGCTGACGCTAAGCAGAACTCAAAGTTACGTCAGGATCGGAAAAGACCCCTCAGAGCCATTCGATACCAAAAGATGTTTCAGTCAAGATGATTCCTTATTGCTGGAGTAAATAATACGAGCTGCAGAGCTGAATAGAGAAGGTACAATCTTCTATAAGAGTGTACAGCTGCCGGCGTATGCCGATGATATTCACATTACTGGTCTCAACAACCGCGCCGTGAGTTCTGCTTTCTCTAGACTGGATAAGAAATCGAAGGACAAGACGAAATATCTCCTATCGTCAAACAAATAATAATCGCATTCGCTACTCGGCTTCTACATTCATAACTTTGATGTCGTAGATAACTTCGTCTATCTCGGAATCAGTATTAACACCAACAACATTGGCAGCGTGGAAATCCAGCGTGGAATAACTCTGCAACTAACCGCAAAATATTCCCTGAATTGGGATTCGGGGATTATTGCGAGAGTGTCAGTACTTGGCCGGAAAAAAAACCGGGTCGTTTTGGTATAAAAATTCGACTGTCGCGGAAACAATTTGATATTGGTCACCTCTTACGACAGGCATGCCTTACCATGGGTAAATTCTTGAGCCCCTTACCCGAGGGAAGAAAACAGAGCTAGAGAAAACCCTTCAATGCATGGTGGCATGACTTTGTTGTACTGGGATATTGGAGTCAACAATAGTAATGAACTATATATTTTATAAGACAACTATACAATACCAATTACATTGTAATCAGTTGGAACA